CAACACCTGTGAGGGAGACGCAGGAGGTTAACTTCGTGGGGTATGTGGGGAGGGGATGTGGTCAGCTGCAGCTACCTCCAGCCCGGACCCCCCCCTGCACCTCCCCGAACCATCCAAAGAGGGGGACCCCCCCGGGATGGGAGAGCAAGAAGAGTTTTCTGGACGATCGATGGGTCAACCCCTGGGAAACACAAAAGAGGGGTTGTGCTCTATCTACCTACACAGAACAGCAACGGCTGTATTACAGGCTTCTTCTTGTTGTTATTGCTGGATTCTTATTGTTATTATGATGATGGTCGGCCTTGGGCTTGAACTCAGGGCCTGGGCGCTGCCCATGAGCTCTTCAGCTCAAGATGGGCGCTCTACCGCTTGAGCCACAGCGCCACTTCCGTTTTTCTGGTGGTTCATGGGAGATCAAAGTCTCTCACGAACTTTTCTGCCCCCGGGCTGGCTTTGAACTGCGATCCTCAGATCTCAGCCTCCTGAGTAGCTGGGGTGACAGGCGGGAGCCACCCACATCAGTCTTATTACAGTGTTCTTAATCGTAAGTGTTAAATATTATTGATAAATGGCAAACAATAAATGCATACTACTCGTAATGATGTTCAGAAACAGGCAATATTGTTCGCTTACAAACATTAAAAGGACATTGTTTATAAATAAAATATAAATTATTTTGGTGGAAATAGTTATATGTGGAAATAACAATAAATAAGTGAATATTTATAATTATCCATGCATGAATATTTAGATCCATGAATAATAAAGAAATCAACACATATTTTGCAGAAAATGCAAATCTTATTCTATTTATTACATCATCTCTGCTGGGGTCGGGGTGTGTGTGGGGGGGTCACACCTGTCACCCCTGCTACTCAGGAGAAGGCCGAGATCTGAGGATCACGGTTCAAAGCCAGCCCGGGGAAGGAAAGTCTGTGAGACTCTTATTTCCACTGGACCAGCAAAAAGCTGGAAGTGGCGCTGTGGCTCAAGCGGTAGAGCACCAGCCTCAAGTGGAAAAAAAAAAGCACCCAGGGCCTGAGTTCAAGCCCCAGGATCACGTGTGCGCGTGCGCACACACACACACACACACACACACACACACACACACACACACATCTTTAAACAGTTGCACAAAGGGATTCAAATCAACATGTGGATGTGTGAGCATCTGGCTCCACGTTGCTCCTCCCCGTCCCCCCCTTCTCCCCTCCCCACATAAGGCCTTGAATATCCCCGGGCCACATCCGTCCGTCCATCCGTCCGTCCGTCCGTCCGTCCGTCCATCCGCCCCCCTTCCTCTCTCCCTTTGCCAGCCCTCCCTGCCCTTGCCCTCACCCCTGCTGTAGCAGGGGTGCTATTCCCTGTTGCATGTGAGTTCTGCTGTCTCCTGCATCCCTCCCCGCTTTGCGGGAAGCACCCTCTTCCTTCACACGTTCCCTGGGGTCCCCCGGGGGACACATCCCCTACTCCACGGTGGCACACAAGAGCCAGGGAGACTCCACGGTGCTATGACATCCCCAAATCTATCCGGATTGCTTCCCCCTTTCCCAGCTTCTTGGGGTGTGTGTGGGGGGCAACGTCTCTCAGAGGGACACACCCAGGCTGGAAATCGGGGAGTTCCTGACCCCTCATACTGGCGAGAGGGGCTCACCTACCCCTACTGTGAGAGGCCCTGAGTTTCGGGGTGCTCGGCTGTCAGACAGATGTCCTACCAGGCTTTGCCCTCACGGCGGGGGGCGTTGGGTGGCAAAGATGGGGTTTCCTAAGGGGAATGGGGTTCACCCTTCCCATCCCCTCCTGGCCCTGAGACCATCAGGCTGGCTCTGGCGGGTCCTGGGGGTACGGTTCTTTCCTCTTCAGAGTTGTGTGTCTGCGCGTGGAAAAACACAACCATAACCATTCCCTCCCCCTCCCCTTCGGTCGGCCGACGGTATTTCCAGAAAGACTTTATTGGATCCCAGGAGGGGAAATCAGAGAGGAAATAAACAAAAGGTGAGTGGAGGCGGGCGGGGCCCAGAACCGGCCTGCCTCTCTTCCCAGTCTCTCAACACATCCATCATGGTGGCAGGGATTAAGCAGGAGCTTCCTGATCTGGGCCTCTAGCCTGCTTCTGTGATAAGGGGTCATCTCTCTCTCTCTCTCTCTCTCTCTCTCTCTCTCTCTGCCTGGGAATCATTTTCTGGACAACTTTCTCCTTCAAGGTCAAAGCTAACAGAAGAGTTCTGCCCTGGCTGCTCACCCCGCCCCCCCTCCCCTCCCCAAGACTGCTCTGGGAGTCATGTTAAACCCAGGGAAATGGTTCCCACGGGATAAACGAATCTCCGGGCGTCCACTCGGGAAGGAAGTGCCGTTTCCTTCAACCGCGTGAGCTCCGAGGACGGGCCACTTGAGCAACACAGATAGATGCTTCTAGCATCTCCTTCCTGCATCTCCCCCCATCTCCCCTGCATTGTAGTGGCAAGGAAAGCATCTAGGATTCACAGGTTATCGGGAAACAATGGATTACATCTCTCTGAAGTGCAGGCGTTACAAGGTACACAATGGGATGACACAAGTTGTGTGTGTGTGTGTGTGTGTGTGTGCGCGCGCGTGCGTGCATGCAGAGGTCCCCAGACAAAGCAAGAGTTGGCACAGAAGTCAGCCGGGAAATAACAGAGGTGAATGAACTAGCAGGGAAGTATCTAGTAAAGACACGGAGCTGTGAATACAGAAGCAAAGGTTATTACCCAAAGAGCAAATAGAAAAACATCCAGCGACTTTGTTGTTGTTGTTATTATTATTCCCAGTGGATCGCTTCTTGGATGAAAGCTACTGGGCCTGACCCCCTGTTCCAGGGTGGACATAGAACAGAGTTTCCATCAACGTGTGCTTTCTGAATAAGCACCTAAGTGGATTAAGTCCTCCCCGGCCACCGGCAAGGTTTCCTGGCCCGAGCTCTCCGCATGGGCCTCTGCCAAGCCTGGGTTTTGGAAGCCAGTCAATTCCTGCCTTCTTTTCCCAAAGAAAATATAGGTCCTTGGCTCAGAGGCGGGCCGTGTTCCCCAGGCTCTGCTTGGCTATAATTAGAAAAAGACCTGTTAAAGACTTGGGTAAAACTGCCTTCCTCCTCCGATCTCCCCGATCTCCCCGCAGCCCGGCCGATCCCAGGCCCTCCACACCAAAACTTCCCCTCAGCTGCCCTTCCCACATTTGATGTTTTCTCCTTCCCAGGGGCTTCATTCCAAGAAGGCCTCACCCAGCCTCAAAATACCAAAAAGAGGGCAATTTCTGATTCCTCCTTTTCTTTTCCTTAGCCTTGTCTACAAACCATACAGAAGATCTGAGGATCGTGGTTCAAAGCCAGCCTGGGCAGGAAAGTCCATGAGACTCTTATCGCCAAGGAACTACCAGAAAACCAAAAGTGGCGCTGTGGCTCAAGTGGTAGAGCGCCAGCCTTGAGCTGAAGAGCTCAGGGACAGCGGCCAGGCCCTGAGTTCAAGACCCACAACCCACAACTACAACAAAATATCCTCACAGATGGGGAAACTGAGGCCTGAGGCTGTTGGCTAGCTCGTAGACCGCAGAGCTAGGACTTGGCTCCAACCGGGCCCCTGGGCCCTGGGGATTTTGATATTCTGCCTGCCTGGGTCTTCTGCTCTCAGACATTCTAGAGGATTCGTTTCCAAAAGAAGCTCAGGGCTGAGGCTTGGAGCCATGATGGCTGCAGGTCTAGAAGCTTCTAAGGTAGCTGGGCCTCTACTATGCCTGCTCTTTCCACTCTGTGTGTGCGTGTGTGAGTGTGTGTGAGTGTGTGTCTGTGTGTGTATACCAATACTTGAGACTTGGCCTTAGGGTCTGGGTGCTGTGTCCCTGAGCTTCTTTTTTTAATCCTGCTCAAGGCTGGCGCTGTACCGTTTGAGCCACCGCACCATGTCAAGCTTTTTTTTTAACTGGTTAATTGGACTTTCCTGCCCTGGGCTGGCTTTGAACCTCGATCCTCAGATCTCAGCCTCCTGAGTAGCCGGGATGACAGGCGGGAGCCACTGATGCCCGGCCTTCTTCCCCCCAGCTCCTTTGTGGGCATCCGACGCTGTAGTGGACAGAGTTGCGGACTTGACATCTCATGCCTTTGTGTTGTGTCCGGTCCTGGACCCACCCGGGTGCCTGAGAAAGAGCAGAGCTCCGGAAAAAGGAAAAAGAAAGTCGTAGAGATCCAATCGGAAAGCTGTTTCTCACTTGCCCAGATTTCAATATGCAAATGGATGAGATATCATTATTATTATTATTATTATGCCACAGCCCACCCTGGAGACAGCTGTGTTCTGGAGCTGGAGTGAAAGGGAACATTGTCCAGCTGGATCTAGAAGGTTCTAATTCTCCGAGGATTTCTGCAGCCATGACTCTGTCTGAATCAGGGTCAGAGTTACAGACTACATCCTGCCAGATAAGCTAGTATCTTGCTTAGGAGGAGAGAGAGACAGATAGAGAGACAGAGAGACACAGAGAGATAGAGACAGACAGACAGAGAGACACAGAGACACAGAGACATACAGAGAGAGACACAGAGACAGAAACAGACAAAGAGACAGGGACAGAGAGAGACAGAGGGAGAAAAAAGAAAAGAGAGAGAGGGAGAAGGAAAATGATAGATTTAAAGCGGAGTGACAAAGCAGAAAGGAATGCGGTAGAAAAATTACCCCAAAGCCATATTAAACAGTAGCTGAACTTGTTCCCCCCATTTTTGGGGGGAATGGTGTGTGCCACTCCTGGGGTTTGAACTCAAGGCCTAGGCACTGTCTTTGAAATTTTTTTTAACTAGAGATTGGCGTGTTACCGCTTGAGCCACAGCTCCACGTCCAACTTTTTGGTGGCTCATTGGAGAGAAGAGTCTCATGGACTTTCCTGCCCCAGCTGGCTTTGAACTGCAATCCTCAAGATCTCAGCCTCCTGAGGGGCTGGGATGGATGAACAGGTGTGAACCACCAGTGTCCGGCTCTTTAACACACACACACACATAC